TCTCTCTCTCTCTCTCTCTCTCTCCCCTCCCCCCAGCCTTAGAATGGAAGAGACTAGAAGGCTGCTAGTAAGCCGTAGAGGCCCAGGTGACACCCTTGGATCTTGTCCCTCTCTGGCATAAGGAGTGCCCTGCGGGCTGCCCACATCCTCTGCCTCCAAGCCTGGTGCCATAAGCCTGTCCATGCCCAGGCTGTCGCCTGCACCTCCCTCCCTCCCCTTTCATCTTCTGGTCCTTCTGACCCCATAGATCAGATGCTACTGTTAACTTTTTCTGTTTATTTTTTTTAATAAGTCCAAATAAAACCAGGGCCTCACTCTCACCCACGCTTCTTCCTCTGTGCTGCGCCATCGCTCATGAAGCTCCCTGGGTCTTCTCTGGGGAACAGACACTGACTCGGCCTTTAAGGGGACCCGGTACACTGTGGGGCATACTGAGTTTCTCTGTATCTGTGTCTTCAGGAGCACATCCCCACTCCACTGCCTTTAGCATTATGGCAGTGGCCTTTCCCTCAACTCCCCTAGACAAAAGGCCCCTGCCATTGTCCATAGGTGTGCATGACCAGATGCACCCAGATGTCGTGCTTCAGCTCCCATTTAGGGTGGATCCTACCCCTGCTCAGCTTGTCTGAGGACCCTGAAGTGGGTAGAGGGTGGGGTGCCTGTACAACTTCAGCTTGTTTGCTATGGGAACAAGGACGCCTAACACCCTCCCCCAAAGCAGATGGTAATTTTCAGATGGTGAAGCCTATACCTATAGTGAGGAGAGTTGTCTGAGACTGACCCTGAGGCATCTCCCACCTGGCCCCAGTCAGCTTCAGGTTCCAGAACTGCCTAACCCAGGAGCCTATAGAGTATCATAAATAAAAGGAAATGACATTAGCATATTTTGGGCTGGGGCTATAGCTTAGTGGTAGAGTGTTTGCCTAGCAAGCCTAAGGCCGTAGGTTCAATCCTCAGTACTGTACATAAATACAAAAATAAATAAATGAACAATAAATAGTGCAGTTCATATGTTCCATAGTAAGCCATGAGAAGGAGCTAAGGAACAAAGTGGTCAAATAACTTGTCTAAGGACACAAAGCTAAGGACAAGGTCTTATGTCAAACATCAAGGCCAGCCTGCTCTAGGAAGTCCCCAACCCACAGGTGCCTGCAGTGTTCCAGGCCTTTAACACCCTGTCACATGTTCTGGGAAAAAGAAAGGCAATGCTCTGGCCTGAAACCTCTCCTTGTTTGAGAGGCCCCACACCCTGCCAGCTCTTGCTGGGTCGTCTGTGGAGTGTTGGCCTATGTGGGAAAATCTTAATAAGCCCTCTAGCTTTACCTGTAATTGATTTCCCACTTCCTTCTTCTCTTTCTTTTCTACTTTAAAAAATAGATTATACGTGTTAGAGTGTATTGCTTGCCTGCATGTGTGTAAGTGCACCCATGCTGTGCAATGCCCTTGGAGGTCAGAAGAGGGTGTCATGGGTGTTGGGAATCGAACCCAGATCCTCTGCAAGAACAGTCAGTGTTCTTAACTACTGTGCCATTTCTCCAGCCCCTCTTTTCTACTTTTTTAAAACTAATTTTGATGATTTTTGTTGTTTTAATTTTTAATTATATATATGCATGTGTGTGTGTGTGTGTGTGTGTGTGTGTGTTTTCTCTGAGTGTGGGTTTGTGCACATAAGTGCAGTGCCGAGAAGTCCAGGAACACGTAGACCCATTTGGAAAAATTTGCTTTGTTGTAGTTGTTAATGCTTGCTAATGCTTGCTGCTGTTCTGTGTCCTGTGCTTGAATGGATGCTTTTTATAAGAGTTGTCAAAATGTCCTTGGGCCTCTTAGCCTCTGTTCCAAAGACCAAAGATGTCAAAAGTATTTGGGAGCTCTTATCTAATCCCTAAAAGATTTTAGGGTTACCTCTTCAGAGGGGGGAATGTTAGAGTAGCAAAAAGCCCCATTAAAAAAAGAAGAAAGAGTACATGAAGTTATCAGAAAAAAGTGATGGGAGATATGGGAGGAGTTGGAAGGGAAGGAGTGGGCATGGATTTGATCAAAACACTTTATATACATGTATGAAATTCTCAATAAATTTAAAAAATAAAATAAAATAAGTAAAAAGTAGAAAAAAAATAGATAAATGTCCCCCAAAGGCTGACGAGTCGGAAGTGTGATCTCTACTGCAACAGCGCTGAGTGATGGTAGGTCACAGTGAGATGTTCAGAAAGATTGTGAGACCATGGTCTCTCTGGTCCCTCCAGCTTGTTCTTTGGAGGTATTATCTCTTACTCCCTCATCAGCAGTCTGTGGTGAGGCAAGGCAGTCAAGAGAGGCCCTCAACAGAGTCTGCACACGCTGTTTGGACTCTGAGTTTCCAAAACTATGGCACTAAATAAACATCCCTTTCTTCCAAAAAAAAAAAAAAAAAAAAAAAAAAAAAAAAAAAAAAAAAAAAAAGAAAGAAAAGAAAAGAAAAAGAAAAAAAGAGTTGTCATTGTTGAAAATTCTTAAATAAAACTGATTTAAATAAAAATGTTTAAATTTTAAAAACCACTAATTTTGAGGCCAGGGTGTGGTGCCCAACTATAATTGCTGTACTCCAGAGGTAGAGGCTGGAGCATTGTGGGTTCAAGGACAAACTGGTCTATAGAGAAACCCAGTCTTGAAAAAAAATGAATCAAATAGTCATTAACTTTAGGTTATACAACTAAACACCTTATTAGCCCCCTGCTTGCTTTCTGCAGGTGGCACCTTTGCTTGTGATGTTGACAGTTCCCTAGGTTTCATTAGGTCTGAAGGCCATTTTTGCTGAATTCACAAACTCAATGGGGGTCTTTGAAAGCGCACTGTGGGTGGCTAACAGAGTGGCATCTCTGTCTTCACCTTGTATCTGTCCCCTTTGCTGTCTTAACCTTTGGGTCAGCCTTTAATTGTGCAGGTAGATATGTTAATCATCTAAGGAATGCTTGTCTAGGACTGGTAGCAAAGTTTAACTTACCTAATCCTTCTCCTACCTCTCCAGGGCTGAAGACAAGATAAAGCATATCTATAACGTTTTTAAGAGTCATACAGGTATCATGACCCTGTGATTACGTATATACCACCACGAGGTTTCTCAAGGGCTGCTGGTCCACTAGAGAGATGTCTGGGAGTGTCTAATCACTCAACTTTTCCTAACTAAAGCTCCCATTTCTTTCCCTGTTGCCTAAGAACAAAAGAGCTTGAAGAAGTTTCTGCTGAGCTTCATTCCCAAGCACTAGCCTGCTGTCTTCTCATTGATTGACATTCTGAATAAATCTTTTTCCTCACTTCAACAGCTTGTCCTCCATTCATTGGGCTCCTTGATCAACAAGGAGACAGCTGGGTTTGAGAACAAGTTCCCTTCAGTCCCCTTAATACAAAAATCACTTTCGGGCAATTGTGTTGAGTCCTCTCATCAAAGTTGAGCACATCCAGGCTCAGACAGGTAAAGGAACTTCTCCCTTCTGAACCCAAGATGTCAGGAGACTAGCAGGGCTAAGGCAAGGGCTAGTCTGGGCTCCTGGGGTCCCCATGGCAGTGGTCAAGCCTCTCGATGCCTATCTGCACTGATGTTCCCTTCTGTCATCCACCTAATCTCACTGACTCCCCATTCCTCTTCCTTTTGTGCACGCATATATGCTAAGTGCATTTGCACACTGTTCTAGATTCTCCAAGTCAGGAACTGACCCTCCACTACTGTAAGCAGGAGGGCATGGGTCAGCAGATGGGCCTGGATAGTTGGAGGAGGTGCCTTAGAACTCTAGGAGGCTCCAAACAGAGATGCAGAGAGAGAACCTTGCAATGCTGGGTCTGAGGACACAGAATGGGTTCAGTAGCAAGACTTACCTATGTTCCTTTAGTGATGGCTATAGGTGTAGCTTTCCCCTAGCTCCTCTACTGGGACACATGCCCCCAATACTCCTTCTAGCACCTCCAAATTGTCCTCGAGCCCCAGGAGCAGCCTCTGCAGGAAAATGAAGTGAGCAACTCCAGGGCATTCCTGCTCCCTCTGTCTAGTTGGCTGGCTTCTGGTGACTTATGGTAAATTTATCCCCTGCCTGACACTTACGGACAGCTCTCTCCCTTTTCACTTGGGGCTGCATCATTTGCACATGTACACACTACTGTGTCACCTTCAGGGTCTTTACCTAACCCTCCCCTATCTGTGCTAGTTGGATCCCAGGGGCCACAGGGCACAGAGCCCATTTGCAGTGTCAGAGCTGGGTGTGTGGGGACAAGAGGTTGGTTCTGTGTTTGCCAGGACCCTGGAGTTCACGGTCCTGTGCAATGGATGTGAGTCCTGACCTGAGAGTTTGAGCAAAACCCAACTCACCTCTTTGCCTCAGTTTCCTTCTATAAACTCATGCTATTTCAGTTCACCACATGATTCAAAACATTATACAAGAAATTACAGAGCATGACGTGAGTGTACACACACACACACACGTTCAATAAAAAACAACTGCTACTATTGCTATCAATTTCAGCTTTGAGCTCCCAACCTGGCATCCTCAGGGTGACCAGATGGGTTCCCCAAAGCTGAGGCGGATGGAGCCAGGCCCACTGGATGGGCGGAGTCACCTGGGTCTCTGATCCAGCCCTTCTGCATTCCTTATTTGCTCTTCCCACTCTAGTTAGGGCTTCTGCCTTCCCAATGCGGGGCCTCCAGGGGCCAGCAGTACCCCTGCCCCCAACCCCATTCCTCCATACCCCCTTATTCCCCACACCTCCACACCCAGGAAAGGTCCCATAATCTATCTGCTGACATGCTCCAAGCCCCTCCCTCTTCAGGGTGAGCCTGTCCTGGCTTTAAAAATCCAAGCTGGTGCTTGGGTCAGCACAGCAGTCAGCAGGATCGATTGTCCTTGACCACCTGGAACTCCAACCATGGCCAGTACCGGAGTAGAGGACCTGAAGCAGGAGGTGGAAGGAGCCACCCAGGAAGCCAGTGAGTAGAGCCCTTCCTGGACACCAGCAGGTGCACCCTCCTGGGGCACACCAGCAGGAGCAGTCAGATCTCTGTAGCTTCAAGTCCATGAACCTCATCTCCGTGATGGAGGCGCCACTGGACACCTACCAGTGCTCTGGGTATTGCTGGAGCCCATCTGAGGAGGAGCCAGGGAGCTGGTTCTAGGCTGCTCCACCCCTGCCTTGGTGAAAGTCCACTGAGAGAACGACTATGCCAGCTGACCAACCTCCTGCTAGGTTTTCCAGAACAGGGTCCACGGGATTCCTCCAAATCCAATGGGCTCTGCTTCCTCCAAATCCAATGGGCTTTGCCTCTGAAAAAAAAATTCCTTCATTTCTTTGAAGTCTCACAATTTCTCCCCCTCTAACTCCCTTCTTATTCCATAGCTGAGGAGGGAAACAAGGTGTGGGGGGGGGACCCCAGAGTTAAAAGTTAGTAAGACCGTCCAGGAACAGGAAAAAGGCTCATGCAGCCTCTCATTGGTGGGTGGCCTGGGGCAAGGGGCTGCCATGAGGTTAAAGAGTTATCTTTTTGTTCTCAGGTGAAAAGGACAACTCCATCCCAGGGGCCGGAAATGAAGGTCTGGTGCTGCTAGGGGGTTGAGGGTGAGGGGAGAGTGGGACACACTGTCCACAAGCTCCAACCCTGGCTCCGGGTTAGCCTCCCTTTTCCGGGCCCTTCTCTAGGCTCCCCGCCCTCAATGACCACAAAGTGAGCTTCCTGGGGAGGTGACTCTACCCAGGTTTAATTCTGCACTACTATGGGTCCCCAGGGCCCTGCCCTTACCACGTCCCCTTTCCTTCCCCAGGCATGGACAAGTGCTGCCTGGAACCCAACGACAAGGCTGCTAACCAGGGATCCGACAACAAGGACAAACAATTGAGCCACCAGAAGTGACAAAAAAATGTGGACCCCGCGTTCCGTTCTGCTGGTACCTCCCTGATTTGCTTTTAATTAAAATTCATGTTGTCCTGATTTTGCGTTCACTTTTCCTGATTTCGCCACGCAGGGCTCAGCCCTCTGGCGCGGTTGGTGGGGACTGGCTTCCCATTCTCTACTGTTTAATTGGCTCCCCAGTTCAAAGCCGCTCCCCTGATCTGAGAAGCCCGCTGTGCCCAAGATGCGCATAGTGTTTTCCCTGATCCTCCTGGGACTAGAGGCTGCAGGGATGCTTCGGGGATGCTGCGGGAGGCTGGGAGGGGAATCGGCGCCTTCAAGAACCTTAGGCGACCGGAGGCTGCGGGGGCTACAGAATGGCAAGAGCAGGGCTTCCGGCCACACCCTATGTGACTCACCAGGCGGGACCGCCGGGTATTTTGAGGTGATGGTCCGACCACCAGGCGGAGCCCCATCCCTAGAGGCGGAGCCATTGGGGCCGTGAGCCGTGCGATGGCGTTGGAGTGCTGCGACCGTGCAGTGTGCGTGTGCGTGTGCGTGTGCAAGTGCCGCGACCTCCTCCCATAAGCTCCCTTTCCTTTCCCCGGAGGAACAGAAACTTCTGGTCCAGCACTAAACTAGGCTGGGCATTTTCGTCCTGCAAGTCCCAGATGAAGCAGGGATCCAGCCAAGCCAGCTCCCTCCCAGTCCTCAGCACGTGTCCACGCAGGCGACCTCAGCTTTGGGTGCGCCCTGCTACGGGGTGACTCACAGCTGCTCAGGATGAGGCCCCGCCCTGGCACCCCCTTCATCCGAAGCCACACCCCGGCGGTCCCTACCTGCTCCCTTTCCCATCTCCACGCCTTAGCGCTGTTAATCCTGTCACCCATCGTTGTACCTTCTCCCACCTGGCACATACCATTTCAGTTAAAAAGTAGTAATTTCCCAGTTCTGGCGAGATGGAGGAAAAAAAAGCAGGCTGACCTAAGGCTGCCCTTCCTTGGCCTGACGCCAGGGGGCAATATCTCCGCGAACGCAAAGCGGTGGGGTCTCTTGCACCCCCATCCCAGGGGCTGTCCCAGTGGCTGGCTGCCCAAGAAGCCCTCCCCAAGTATGCAAAATGAGCCAATATTGTCACCTCCAGCTCTAAGGGAAGACCCTTTAAGTGACACTTGGGGCGGTCTGGGGACCTACTCACATCTTCAGGGGACCTCATCTACAGGAACTGGTGCTGGGTCAGGAGACAGCCTGGTGCGGAGGCTAATGGGGCTGGACCTTTGATACCCCAGTGTTTCTATTGCTCATCCTTGCCAGGTGTGACTCAGGGATAAATCCCATTAGGCTCGCACTGGCTGTTCACTGGGTCTGTTGTAAGTGGCTGCCTTAAGTGTGGGTGTGGGACCCAGCTCTTGCCTTAGAAGACAAGTGGCCTGTGAGCTCAGGGGCTTATAGGAAAGGTTTTTGGTAATCTTACAATGAAGGAAGGAAGGGAGGGAAAGGAGGGAGGGAGGCAGGGAGGGAGAGAAGTAAGAAACAGCCCCTTCTCTTTTGTGGACTATGATGGGCACTTGCAAACAGTGGAAAGAAAAAGTCACCTTATTGATGGGGCAGGGCAGAAATGAAGACAGAGTGCTTTATTAAATCCTTGATCTGAACCAATCCTGCAGCAGCCAAGGCTCTGGGTGAGGACACCTTTCTAAACTACACTTTCTGTTCCAGCTGAAAGCTGTCTTCCTGGTGTTGCCTGCACTCCAAGGTGGTGCACTGGCCACCTGCCGGCCTCCTCTCAGGTATCCTCTTCCTCTCTGCCTCAGCCTTTCTCCTCTGGTCCCTTCCCATCAGGACCCAGTCCTGCTGTTTTTCAGGTGTCATTCTCCAACTTTGCTTTTTGTGTCCCCACAAACCAGACTTGCCTAGCTACATCTGGCTCTTCCATTCTTCCTCTCTCAGTTTCATAGAACTGCCAACACACAGACACCGAAACACCCCCTCCAACACACACAGAGACAGAGACACATAGACACAAAGACAGTGAGACACAGACACACAAACACACGAGACAGAGAAACACATAGACACAGACCTTGATTAACAGATGGTAACTGAACCTGTAGGAAACAAAACTTGGAGAGACAGAGACACATCGACACACACACACACAAACAGACACAGACACAAGCACATAGACCCACATCCACACACAGTAGGGTCAGACCACCAACCGCGCTTTCTCAAACTCCTGTGGAGTAGCCCCCTGTGCTATGTTCCATTTGCATGCTTCCCTGCTCCAGGTTTTGTTTCCTATAGGTTCAGTTACCATCTGTTAATCAAAGTCTGAAAATACTAAAAGGAAACTTCCAGAAATAAGTAATATATAACTTTTTTTTGTCTTTTTGAGACAAGGATCTCCTTGTAGCCCCTGCTTCCCTGGAATTTGCTATGTAGACTAGGCTGGCCTCAAACTCACAAAGATCCACCTGCCTCTGCCTCCCAAGTTGTGTGCCACCATGCCCAGCAAATAAATGACTTTTAAATAACCTTTACTACAGTATGTTAAGCTAAGCAATTATTGGATGCCTTCTTTTTAACTTTTAGAAAAAAGATTTAATTAGCTGAACATGGTGGGGCACACCTTTAATCCTAGCACTTGGGAAACAGAGGCAGGCAGATCTCTGTGAAATTTAAGCCAACCTGGTCTACATAGTGAATTCCAGGCCACTGGGACTACAGGGAGACCTACAGGTCTCAAAAAGACCAAAAAAAAAAAAAAAAGAAAGAAAGAAAGAAAGAAAAGACTTAATTATTTTTGCTTTGTGTTTGAGTGCCTGCATGCATGTATGTGTGCATGCCTAGGGCCCTATGCCCACAAAGGCCAGAATAGGGTGTAGGATCCCCTGAGGCAAGTGTGATCCATCATCTGAGTACTGGGAACCAAACCTGGGTCCTCTGCAAGAGCAACAATTACTCTTAGCTGCTGAGCCATCTCTGACCCTCTGGGCAATCAGGAGATGTAACATTCACATTTCTCAGCATTCAATCATTACAGATACTAGTCTCCTCTCCTCTCCTGTAGCCCTTATATTTCTAAAATATTTTCCCTTTTTCTTTCATTTAAACTTTTTTTTTTGTCTTTTTGAGACAGGGTCTCCCTGTCGCCCCAGCTGTTGTGGAACTTGCTATGTAGACCAGGCTGGCCTCGAACTTACAAAGATCCGCCTGCCTCTGCCTCCCAAGTGCTGGGATTAAAGGCGTGTGCCACCACACCCAGCTCATTTAAACTTTTGATTGAAAACTTTTTTTTGAAATAAGGTCTTACTATGTAACCCTGGCTGTCCCTGCACCCACTATGTAGCCCAAGCTGGCCTCAGCCTCCCCAGTGTGGGATTACAGGTGTGTACAATCAGGCCCAGTTCACTAGCTGTATTTCTAGGGTTCTGCCTCTGTCCCCTGCCTTATAAGGAAAGTAACTGAAAAGACCAATATGCTTTTGTTCTTTGTTTCTGCTTCCTTTAAGCCCTTTTCAGTCTGTAAAACCAACTTCCTCTACTTGGACCATTACACAACATATTGTTTTGTGGAATGAAGGGTTGCCTGATTCTAGATTTGAAAATGAGGTGGTTAGAGAAATGGCTAAGCAGTTGAGCTCCTGGTGCTCTTGTAGAGGACCCGAGTTTGGTTCCCAGTACCCACATCGGTAGCTCACAACCACCTGTAACTTCAGTTCCCATCTCCATGAGCATGCCCACAAACATATCCTCACATAGATAAACACGCACATACACGTAATTAAAAATAAAATAAATTTTGGGGGCTGGAGAGATGGCTCAGTGGTTAAAAGCACTAGCTGCTCTTGCAGAGGACCTGAGTTTCGTTCCCAGCACCCACATGGTAGCTCACAACCATCCACAACTCTACTACTAGAGGATCCAACACCCTCTTCTGGCCTCTGTTGGCATTGCATGACACAGGTGCACTTACATACATGCAGGCAATACACTCATACACATAAAATAAAAATAATAAATAAAATATTTAAAAACTAAAATAAAGCTTAAAAAAGAGAAAAGGTCAAATAAGACCTTCAAACTAAGCTGGAATTGTGTCCTTTGAGATTTGAAACTACTGCATTTACAGATTGAGAAGTTTCCTTTAAATCTCTCTAGTTGGCATTCCTTCCTCTCTCCATTTCATTCTTTCATTCATTCATCCAGTCATTCATTTTCTGAGACAGAATCTCTTTGTAGCCCAGGCTGGCTTTGGGCTCCCAGCACTCCTGCTTCAGCCTCCTCAGTGGTGGGGTTGCGAGCAAGGACCAGGAGGACCAGGAGCCTGTTAGCTTCCCAGTTTTGATTCCCCTTAGGCTACAAATAGAAAGAGCGGGATTTCCTACTTCTCCTTCTCTCCTCTCTCTTCCCTCTTAGCAGTCTCCTTTCTTCTTGTGAAATCCTGTAAGCATGCATTCCATTTCCGATGCTCAGCTGCACCTTTGTTTTTGCAGCTGAAGACAGTAAACTTTTTCTGTCATCCCTCTAGTTGAAGATTTTTCTGCTTTCTCTTGATTGGTTCAAGTGTTCTTACAGAAATGTTCTCAAGAATGAAAGAGATGAACTGATAAGCTATCTGGGATCTGAGTTGATCATTTTTATAACTGGGTAAAGGACCCATGAAGATTTATAATACTCCATTTTGATATGTGGCATTTTCTGTTCACAGAGTTAGAATTTTATGTGGTAAGGACATTTAAGATTTTTTTTAGCAAAATTCAAATATACCATATTATTAGCTCTATCTAGTCTCATTGCTATATATTAGATCTTTATAGACTTATTTAACCTATATAACTGCAGTTCTGTGCCATTTAGACAATATCTCCTCATTTTCTTCCCACAATTCCCTCAAGTCCCTGGTAGTTACCATTCAACTCTCTGCATTTATGAATTTAATTTTGGTAGATTTTATATATAAGTGAGATCATTTGATAGTTGTCTTTAAAAATTTTTTTTAAAGTATATGTCTGTGTGTGAATACATGCACATTCCTGCAGACAGCACTGGACGTCCTGGAACTGCAGTTACAGGTGGTTGTGAGACACCTGATAC